AAAAATCACATGTTTAAATCATAGCTACAACGCGACTGCAAATTACGTGAAGAAATGTCAATTCTATTACTCGAATGAGGGGGAGGATTTGATGAGATATGATCATGATCAACGACAAGCGAAGAACGATTAGGCTCAGGATTGCGATCTATCTTTTTCTTCCTTTCCTCAGGGGGAAGGGAAGGTCTTATATACAAACCTTGCCTATAAGGGAAATATTTCAAACGGGAAGCACGCCTGAGCGTGAGCCTAACAAAGTAGGAGGATGGCATAAGAACTTTTAGTAGCCTATCACGATTAGCATTCGGTTTACCCATGCGGTATACCGAAATCGGGCGACAATCTATCGATAAAAATTCCAATATTTGACCCACACAGTTGAAGTCGTTGTTGATCCTTTGACTACTGTTGCCATAACGGTATTCGGGTACTCCAATAAACACGAGCGAGCGCTGCCTTTCGAGCTCTTCATATGTGGAGGCATGTGGTGGGGGGCTCGTTGAAGTCGGCGGGCTGGTGCTGGAACTATTGACAATTTTCTTCAAATCAGAATTTTCCGCTCTCAGCTTCGCCAGCTCTTCTTTCAAAAGCCTAACGTCGTCGCGCAACTCACTATTAGACTGGAGAATAGCGTCCGTTTGTTTATGACTTTCCAACAAAATTGAAATAATGGCTCGAGCGTAAACAGGCAAACCGTCATCCTTGGCCAGATCGGCCGCCGCCTGCAGTAGATCGGGTGACGCGCGTGGTGATTCGGCCAAATCCAGACGTCGCTTCTTCCAGCGATCCGCAGGAGGAACAGGATAAGAGGGCGTATCCATAAGTTTAGAAGAAAGAATAGCAGTAGCGAATATCAGCGTCGAAAGAAAAAATAGGCTGCCGAACGTCGGGTTGGGTTGGCTGAGACGTCATCGATCGATATCGATAAAATCGATATCGATCGATGACGAAAAGTAGCCTATGGCACCCGCCGGGGCCCGTAGTGTATGTGTGCCAAGTTTGGTCCGGATCGGTTCAGAAATGGAATTTTCTATTCGGAACATACGTACATACATACATACAGACATACATACATACAGACAAACAGACATTCAGCTTTATATATAAGATTAGCCAAAATGTATCCATTGTATGAGCTGCTCTGATACTCGACACGACCATTCGAACAAATTTGGGCGATTTTGCTCCAGTTTTTGAAGTTTCCCGAAAAACGCCCATAATTCGGCGTCCAGAGACGCAATTAAGACAGATTTAAAAACACTGTGCAATACCCTCCAAAGCAGTATGGGTCTCATCTGAAAAGGCCACTTCGACTTAACACGCTTCCCTTGTAAGTAACATGGGTTTTGGGTGAATGTTGGCTCTAAGAAACTATGCCAACGAGGATGAGCATTTAAGGAGAGCTTGTAGTCCATTTCAGCTGGACTTACACAATGCTCACTTCTACGGTGAGGTTAAAAGGTGAGTTATGAGTTTATTACAAGCCTCGGAGCACAGGTTTAAACAAACTGTTTTCGAGATCCACAAAATGAGGTTCGTGAGCTGTAGTGCTGTATCGTATGCTTATGCATTCTTTTGAATTTAAAAAAACTACGCCGTTTACATATTGGAAGAGGGTTTTGATTTCCATTTTCACGTTTGCCATATATAGGTTTTGGAAGCTGATCTCAGATATGTAGGCTCAAGAGCTGCTAATCGTGTCACCATGAAATTTAACTCACTTTTGCAAACGATCCAAGCAGAAATTTGGGTATTTTCCCGTTGTTCGGACCTATTTTTTGAAAATGCTGTCTAAAATTACGCTCTTTAGCTGGGTTCATACTGATTCCCATGTTCCGGAACTGTTCTCGCACAGTTTCCGCACTGTGCTGGAACTGTTCCGGAACATGGGAATCAATATGAACTTAGCCTTAGTCGAAAAAGAATTTTTTATAGATTCCACGAGGACTGTCTCCCTGCAACGTGTCAGAAAAATATTGACACGTTTGGTCCATCTTGACTTGTTTATTCTCGAAATCATTTCCGTGAGATAAAAGAGCATTTGTGATTACTCAAAAGCTGTTTATTAGTTTTCTATAAGAGCAAAACAATCTAGAACTTATATAAGAACATTTTGTTCGTTTTTAGCAATGAGCATCAGTATTGTCTTTCTCTTCAAACTTTTCGCCTAGCGAACTTAGCCAGACGAGACTACAAATGATGGCTTGCAGTTCCTCACTACTGCTTGTTTTGTCACTTGGATAATGAGATCCTAGTCACTTCTCTATTCTAGGCAAGTCTAATATGTTTGACTAATAACAGAATGACGTTATTATGATAACAATGCTCATTTTTGATACTGTTCAATCGACATTGGGGCCACTATTGGCTAAAAAGTAGATTGAACTTACGTCGCTAGGTAAGCAACTTAAACTCTTGGTTAGACCGTAAACATGTAAATGACATGTCAGTTTTTTTGACACGTGGCAGGAAGGCGGACACTCCTCCCTGTGAAGTTGGGACCAAATATGTATGTCACGAGGGAAGAAGCTATATTCTTCCTTGAAAAAATGGGTCCGGATAACGGAAAAGTACCGATACTACGCAAGAAAGGCTGTTCTTTCTATACACCTTAGCCATTGCTTATTAAAGCGTTTTCTAGAGTTGTTATGCAATTAAATGACTGAAATAACTCAGATCAAACATATCTTGAGATAGTAAATCAAACGTGGTTTCGTTTTCGTTATTAGCTGCTAATTGTTGCAGCTTCTAAAATACATTGCATTTGCTATGATCGTTACAAAATTCAACTATTATACATTGTAGGAGGTGAAGCTAAACAGAGCATCAGACTTTGGCACTCGAAATTTCTCGTTTGCTCAAATGCATGTGCTCTTTCAAGTTCCGATTTAAGACACTTCTAGGATGCGTAATAGCGTAAAGAGTATAGCGTAAAGCGTGCAGAGTATAAGTGTATAGAGAGAGGCTAGCTGGGTTATGAATGCTTCATTGTCTTAATCGTAGTGACTCCTTATAATTGTCACATGCGCATGTGTAACCGCGCTCAAAAGGGTTAGAAACAGATGTCAGACACATTCAAATCGTATTGATACGTATCGTAGTTTTCTCACTGTTTTCCGAAACTTTTTGCATTGTTTGTTACGACTATTGATTTCAGCGAGGCTAGCGATACCTCGTGATTTATTCTGCAAGTATTTTAAAACAAAGGAAAGCATGGCACAAAAAGTAGGGCCCGTAGTAAACCCCTCGTGGTTGTCACAACATAGAGGGACTATGTCGTGATAGCTCGGAGTATCTCGCAAGACTATAGCGAGCTATCCGCAGGGCGCCGCAAAACGAGCGCCTCCGCGCGTCATCGAACCGTTGATGACCGCGACAACAGCGCTCACACGCGCTGCGCTATGAGTGCAGATATGCCGTGGGGTATTTGCTTAGCAAGGCAAGAATGCAGTGTGCTATTGTTGCCAAAGCAGGTAAATCAATCAGAGGAAATCCAATAACTGACCATCCTCGCGTGAGCGCGCCTGTTTCTCCATTTTTAATTCGTTATCTTATGTTTGCATGCATTAATAGGGTAGCGCAGCTGATCTATGTGTCTTGCAGAATTATGCTTCTTGCGCACCGTGCTGTCAGAAGGAGCGCCAATATCCGCTACGACAGGACCATATTTGACTCTTCTCAATGAAATTTGGGCGTGCCAGCCCGTGCCAGATTCGTGCCAGCTCCTTCATAATAAATCCCATTCTTTATAACCTCTTAACCGGGCGTGCCAGCCCGTGCCAGATTCGTGCCAGCTTCGTGCCAAGGCACTGATGGTCTAACAGCGCACACGTTCGCTGCGCTGTATACTACTACGCCATGCTTTGCTAGGGGAAGGATACACGTAGCAAATAGAGCAGTTGCAGCAAATCAGTATGGGAAAACGATATGCACGCCTGCTTATTATATACACGCCTGCTTATTAAGTGTTGAAGGGTTAGTTACTACTTTTGCAATTATTGTGAAACAGCGTATATAAGGAACCTCAACATAGCATACGTACGTTGGGGGTGAAAGTTCCATGCTACACTGTCTTTTGCATTTTGCTGGCAAACTGAATTTTGCAACTGAACGTGTATCAGAATTTCCTTTTAAAAAAGAGAAAGTGGAATTTGAGACGTACAATACATATGGAAAATGCACAAGAAAAATCAAAATAGTATCATCAGCATTCAGTCCGTTCAAAAATGGGCTATTCCATCAGCCATAACGCCAGACGGTCCTTTCTCATAAAAACGAAAGGAAACGAGAGGTGCATGGCTAACGAACAGCAAGTCAGCAAGGATATGTGGTCGAAACTACCCCAAGATTGAAGAAAAGATCAAGAATTTGCAAAATTTCGGCACGAAGAAGGGATTTCATGCTCAAACAAGGTGCATTGCCAAATAAAAGAAGAAAAAATGCATAGGTACGAAAAATATGACTAAGTATGAGTCTAGTATATTTTTTAGTCAAAACAAACTCACCATTTTCAAATTCCAAAGCGGCAGCAGCAGAAGTACCTAGAGAATAGGGAGATGCGCATTGCTCGGACTGTTAGGCGGCTATCAGCTGTTATATTGATTGCAGTTGACGTGCACTACAGAGAACTGTGTGCATGTGCGACCTATTGCGAGGTTGGCGTAGTCGAGCTCTAGTCTTGCGCTATGTCTCTGCGTCTCCATGATATACAAAGTATTTCGCCGTCTCGTCCGTCACGACATGTCGCAATATGTCGCTATATGTCGCGATATGTCGCGACATATAGCGACAAAGTGGGACTACCCTGGCGCTTCGCATTGATTGCATCCGCCGGCAATGATAAAGGATAGCCGCCTTGCCTGCCTCGCTCCATGGTAGTCAGCACATGTCACAGCAGGCTCCGAGCTATACGTCAGCACATACGGGGGGTTTACTACAGGCCTAGGTGTCTATCTGATCTAATCAAATCCTTTGGAATTGACTGGAGTTTAAATGCTTTTTCAGAATGAATTTGTTGCATCAGCTGCACAATTGCTGGGTAGGACAACGCGTCCGCAGAGTTGCACGTGGAACTTCCACTGCAGTCGAATAGAATTCTGCGCCCTTTGCAGCAGCTGCGACGGCCCGTCGAGTCTAAAACGACCCTAAGTTGTAATAGAAGGTACTTGAAAGCATTTTTCTCTTAGTGCTATTTGACCCACACAGGAAGCCCGACCAGAAGCTTAAGAGGCACCAATCACTTTGCAGATAAGTGTATGAGCTCTTGAATTGTAGAGCAAGGAAAGCCACTGTAATGATGGGGGAGATCTCGGAAGTATGAAAGTGTAATGAACGGCTGATGCTAAGTTGCCAAAACAGCACCATCAAAAAAGCTTAAATGCTTATCTTCTGCACGAGAGAAACTAGCGCAAATAAAAAAGGGCATACTAATGTCACTGCACACTCCTTCTGATCAGCAGCTGTCAAAACCGGACCGGTCATCAATTCACCCACTGCCTGGCACATTCGTCACCGCCCAGCCCTGACAATACACAAGGATCGTCATCCCCTACTTCTAAACAACGTTCCCCTGTCCCTCTCCCGCTTTTATACGTCAGTTTCCTACTCCCAATCATGTTTTTGTTATCAAAACGCTCATTACCCATCTCAATCTTTACAAAGAACTAAAAAACTCGATAAGGGTAATCGACATTCTCAAAGACGTTGTCGTTGTAATCAACAGCTTACCCCTCACCCCACCCTATGCCAATCTCTTCGTCAATGGAAATTTCCATTTATAACACTTGTGCACACAGCCATTCAGCTTTGTCACACTTGCTAATCAAAGTAAAAAGAAAGAAGTGAGGGAAAGAAACTTTTTTACGCTAACGGATTCAATTTTCTGTCTCCAAAGTACGAAATGGGAAATCGCTACTGGAATCACCAACCGAACTCGCTTTTCCACCAATCTCTTAGATAATAACAGTCACCTTCTAAAATGGATGAGTGCTTCAAGATCCTCAATGAACAGTCGCAGTACATTTGCTTGACCAGAGAAGAACCACACGATGGCTGGCTACCCTTTCTCAACACACAGGAGATGTTGGCTAAAGGCGCTGTACACATTAAATGCTAACAAATGAGAGAGTGACCAATGCAGTTAGGCGATGTATAGCGCAAGCGCAGCTGGAGGATGATGTTGTCTTAGTGAATATGACACAAGAGAGCATCAGAAAACAACTGGTTCGAAATCGATTCTACAATAAAGCTTGCAAGTCGCAAAACTGCGTTGTGTGCACAAATAGAAGGTCAGGGGATTGCTCACGAAGTGGTGTAGTTTATCAGTTGGAATGCCAAACATGCCGGGCCATTTACATCGGTGAGACAGGTCGACCACTTTCAGTGCATGTAAATGAACAAGGCCAGCAAACGAAGACAGAGCCTCGTGAGCCCACTGGGGAAACATGGAAGGAAGACAATGCAGGCGAAGATTTTGAATCGAATTGTAACATACTGGCAGTCGAGGATAACATCTCAGCTCGGAAAGCGTTAAAAGCCGCATACATTCTTGCTCGAAATCCGAAAATGAATAGCAAGAATGAACAGTTGTCGATCACAAATGATCTTAAGCCGTTCCTATCATTTTGCGGTTTCTAGATAACCTACAGCTACATAAACATATCCAACTCAGCTGGACTGTTCATTGTCAACATATCCTGTAGGCGACCGAAAGAGCTTTTGTTGTGTTCTTTGTGGAAATCTTGGTAAGTTAATTGCGTGGACGCTAGACTCAGATCACTTCTGAATCAAACGTACGAGTTGATTGGGGCGTTTGATCGCATAAAGCGTTGATGGAAGTGATTGAATCGCTTTCAGGCCTCTGAGGACGGCGTTTTCCGCCGAAACGTAAGGCTCAATAAAGAGTTCCGATAAAAACCTGTTGTGGCATAGAAAAAGTTATTCGATACAGTCAATACCTTTTTATGCACATTAATGAATTTTTAAGGTCGTTGTAAACATGAATTCCATTTTCAGAGTATAAAACTCTGCAAGTTTTGCATAGGTGTGTTAGACAAGCTGGAACCTGTGCTTTACACCACCTCTAACCGAACCTGATCAGAAGAGGAACAAGCGGTGCTTTCCAGATAAGCAGCTCTACCCTGAAAGTGTTGAAACGATATTTCAGCACATTCACGACACTAAGAACCAGTCCAGAGGATGGGGGGGGGGGGGGGGAGTGGAAGTCGTATGGTACTATGTCGTTTCGGTTAGTACGACTCGCAGTGGATCGTCAATTCAAACATTGCAAGTGGACGTGAAGTTCCCTTCAAAATTCAGCTTTTTGCAATTTCCGTGTCAAGTTTACTTCATGAAACAAATTCATCCTGTTTCAAACATTTTCTGTCGTTGATGAGCACTGATTGATAGCTGCAAAATTTCGATCTATTCATTAGGTTGGACCCATCATCATAACTTTATCATATATTTAGTCAAAGTACGACGAAATATAGCACGTTTATTAACAACGATTACGGTTGAAGGTCACAGATCAAAGACATCGCTGCAGTAAGGATAGAAGCGCTAAAAGACAGAATTAGTTAAGGTGGATGATGTAATCTGTGCTAACAACTTACTGTACACGTTTGTCCAGCTTTTGCACCAAAGAGAGGCGCAATGACATATTGAAATGCGAGTATTATAACTGCGGGCATGTCTTCGCACTAAATCTTGATTTGTCAGTGCAAAAAGGCTGCGAATAGTCTCTTTCATCAAACTATGCATCAAGTCACGTAACTTACCTTGAGTTGTCCAAGCCCAGGCACGAGAAGATGTAAAAGAGCAGGTAGATCCAGAATTTTGCAAACGTCCTCTCCAGCTTTGCCGATTGCTAAATCAAATTTTTGTGTTGACCAAGGAAAGTTTTGAATTTCGTGAAAGTATTAGTCGTCTTATCCCGTGCTTCCGATTTTATTTTCTTTACATTTGGCAGTACCCCTTATTATTAACGAAAAGGCTTTCTTTTTCAATGAAAGCGTTTGTCTAGTGGGCAAGCGTATACGGTACGCTTCATACGCAAACAAGTATCCAGGTGATTGTGAAGTTACTTTTTATTTTGTAACTGATCAGTTGGTATACCGGATCCCACACCGACCTGGGAGGCGGACCGTCGAACGTTATAATCGTTCACAAATTTTACCGCTTTTCAATTCAACCCTTCTCCGCTTCACCATGTACTCAATTTTCCTAGTGTTTCTTCCTACACAGCATCCAGCGCTGAGATAACCCTTACAGTGAATGCACTTGTTTCCTATTCGCCCTACCGCATTCCTGAGGCCGCATTCATCATTGAATCCGGGGTAGATTCTACCTTAAGGAACATTGTACCTTAAGCAGTTGGTATTCAGCAATCTACCTCAAGGTAAATTTTGCCAGCTACCTTACTTTTACAGCTACCCTTACCTTTGCCAGCTCGCTATACACTGATGTTCATTCCAAGCCACCTATGACGTCTTAAAGGCAGTGGCTCGGCAAATCTCAACCTAATCAAATTTTCGCTTACCTGGGATTATTCAATACGCTGATTCCGAAAATGCACTTTTGAGAGCTTGAAAACGCCGAAAACGAGCGTTTTTCAATGCCCTTCCCTGAATTGGACGAGTGCAGCAAGGCTGATGACGCCGAATCGTTGCAGGACCCATTGGTTATAACATTGCGGCGGGCAGCCTCCAATGGTGAGAAGGAAATCGGCAACTCGTCCGGATGCGTGTAAGAATGGCCTGCACGTGTAAGTTTGGGAGCATTTTTCTCGGCAAGGAAGGCATGCTGTGCAACCGGGATTGCACTGTTTTCATACTTGGGAAATAAGGAGTCTACCGCGTCAAAATCTGAGTTGTTGAGTTTTGCCGACCCATTGCCTTTAACGGTGCATAAAGTTTCTTATTGTCAACGGAATCTTGTTGAGACAAAATTAATTGTTATTTTCTGTCCTTCGAACCCGAGCCGACATTTTTTGGCAGGAAGACGTTTTGAAGAACCCTTACATGTTCAAACACGGTAAAATGAGGAGGTCTTATGCCTCAAAAGATGATGTAGTGGCCATTCTTCTAAACTAATTGTTTTGAAAAAAAAACATAAGTTCGCACCTCCTTTTCGAACTTACAATGAGGAGGAGTATCAAGTTACAATGGTACCGAAAAAATATGTGCAGGATTTCGTAAAGTATTTGAACCTAACTTTGCGACACTGCAACTTTGCTAGCATCCTTCGCATTTGGAGCAAACTTCCAAAGTGAGTCCGTAAGATGGCTTCAATTGGTATTTGCAAAACAGAACTACGATTTTGAGATTAACCTAAGTGAAGAGGACCGATTGTTTGAGTGTTACAATCTTGTCTTGATGTTTCGCTGATCTTCAATTAAGGCTCACTCTGTATTTACGATATACAAAAACGCCGTTTCTCTTCATCGAACAGTTGTAAAATTCGAACTCAAGCTCTTGGAATGGTATCCTGCCAGTGGAAAGGAACTTTTTGGGTACAGAACCCGAAAAAGCTGAAAGACTAATATCAAATCAGCTGACGGATTTCGGGGAGATTTGCATTTTTTACCAAAACATCATTGGATAGTCACGCCAGTCACACCATAACCGCTGTTTTTTATTGTGCTTAAGAAGTTTATAAAAGTTTGGTTTTTAGGTTTGAAAGGTTCTTGCCTTGTTCTATTTTGTATTAGTTATCTGCTACTTGGACTTATTTGAAATCTGGCATGAAAAATGTTTTGAGAAAATGGGAAGAAAACTTGATCACGCCGATATCCTCAAGTTTGCACACCAGTGATTTTTCAAGAGCTTGTGGCTAGCGCATGGCGCTATGCGCGATTTTAATGCTTTTTAACGCTCTTGGACACTTCGGAGTTCTTTTCAGCAAAGTATGGCCGGTCCCTTGGAAAAAGAATTGATTTTGATACACCCTTCCTGCTTCCAACTACAATGATGTGATTAAAATGAACCCTACTGCGATGCAATTTACTTTTAAATTTACCTCAAGGTGCAATTTACTTCAAGGTATAATTTTTGTATTCATCGAAGTTTTCTCTCAAGGTTAGATCTACTTGTGCCAGAATGATAAGGACTGGCGTGTGTTCGGAGCATGACGCGATGGAGATGCTTTTTATGTATCCTCATGATATGTTCACAAGAAATTTCTTGCCTTTAGGGTTCAAAGCTTTCCAGTTCGTGATTTCAATCTGTTTGTCCTATGTGTTCAAATGTCCCAAGTTCTAAGGATTTTTATCTGGATAACTAATCGCACGTTTTATTTTAGATTGTAACATTCTTTTTCCAACAATGAGACCTGCCTGCCTGAAGATATCTCTCCTTGTTCAGTCACTGAACAAGATCGTAACAAATGCTTCCAAATATTTAGCATGAGATTTTGATTTCCCACTCAATGGAAAACTTGTACCTGTTTCTTCTATGCTATTAGGAAAATCGCTATTTCTGGGGGTGCGCAAAAGTTCTACCGAATTATTCGCCTCATATTTTGGCATTTCTCCAGTTTATACAGATATATATACAGTCGAATCATTTCATATGATCATGTGTGCATCCGCACACACCGTCCATCTTTGGCGTCTTCATCCTGGATTTGCGATCGCAAAAACGCAAGAGAGTGACCGTTTGCTATCACTTACATCATTTTGAGGTGAGTAGTACCTAAGAGGAAAGCAAACATCGAGAACACATGAAAAACACCTGACTGAAGGGTTGCTCCTCCAAGAATCCAGCATGGGAACGCCCAAGGTAGACGGTGTGTGCAATGACACACATGATTATATGAATTGATTCGACTGTATCTGTATAGATTAGATTTTTTTTTGGGAAAGTTGTGGTGTTTGTGAGCTTTCAATGCTAAATAAAAGCTTGTGATGGTAGATTATGCTAAAATAAATCAATTTTCTGCTTTCGAGATTACGTCTTAGAGTTACGTGCTGCTCAAGCTCATATGTACGTTTATCAAGATTGAAGAGTAAAGGTGTTAAGATCTTTTTTGTTGAGCGAGCAGCATTTTGTTCATATTTTTTGCATTCAACAGCCTACTCCTTCCCCCCTCTAAAGACCAGGCCCAATTCCACTTAAGCCATACAAGCAATTTAGTATTTAGTGCAGTCCGAGATGAGCAGTTAAGGAAAATCAAAATCAGGGTTAACCTTTTGAACGTCAACGTCTTTTTTTTTTGTGCATATTTGATGATCGGAAAAGAAGTCCTGCCGTCAAGCAACTTCGACTTTGTGATTCACTGGGCTCAAGATGCTGCGAGAGAGTATGAATCCTGTGCATGACTACCACTAGTTCAACAGAATAAGAAACAGGCGTTTGTTAACATCCATGTTTGTAAGAGTATAAACAGAAATTGTGTGCTAGGTTTGTTCAACCTCTATAAATCTCGTCGATAACCAGATTTTGCAAAACTGTTACAGTAACCTAAGCTATGTTATTGCATTATTCATGCAAAAAATCAGCTTCCGAAAGTCTATAGATCCTTGAAGGTATCCTTCTAACTTTGCCTCCAGCTAGAGTCAAAAGTTGTATTGGTGATTTACCTCAAGGTAAATGCAGTTCGTTTGATGAATACGGTTTCGAGTGATACAACTCCTTTCGAGTGATACCTTGAGGTAAAATTTACCTCAAGGCACTTCTCATTCAATACTTAATACCTTGAGGTAACTTCCTAAGGTAAAATCAAGAAGTATTTTAAGGTTCTAGCTATCTGGTGATAATGATTGATAAGACTACTTGGAGGTAGGATTTACCTCAAGTATCAATGTAGGATTTACCTCAAGTATCAATGACGAATACGGCCTCTGCTGAAAAGCAGGTCAGCATATAAAAATGAGCTTTCCCATTTCCTTTAACATGAGTATAGGGAGAAAATAGAGAATGATAAGTTTTAAGCAGAATGACTGGTAAGCTTTTATTCTTTTGAAATAGTCAAGGAAATAAATTTAGAAGAGCTCAAAAAACGCCGCGAAAAGTAGTCGATGTTCTTATGTGGCCTATTTATTGAGAAAAGCCAAATTCAACCCGGTCTACTCATAAAGATTTCCATAGCCAACATGCATATTAACAGGCATACTAACATTGTATTTTGGATATATAGAGATTGACTGGCACAAATCATCACTGATCATTGCTCATCGTACGAGATAAATTGTGTTTTTAGCTTTCGTAATCATTATATTTTGCGTCCCTTTCCTTTTACTTCACTTTGCTCCCTTCTGCTTCCCGCTTCGCTTTCACTCCCACCTTGCGCGACCATACTGCGCTGGAGGACCCTCTCCTCCCGTCCCTTTACACCTAGGACTACCTCATGGAAGTTTCCGTTTCGGTTTATCGCATTCTCGTAGCCCTGAGACTAAAATGAGCTTTATCGTCTGGCTGCACACAAGGACAATCTTTTGATAAAGAACAGAAGAACTACTACTGATGTATCTCATCAAGTCAATAAATGCCCAAAAGTCGCCGCGAAAAGCATCCTGCGACATCCGGCGTTTTTCTTGTGTAGGAGCGAATTTCAGTTTCGTTTATTCTAAGATTTCTAACAAACTTAAATGAACACAAATTGGGTTTTGTACACAGAGCGATTACGCTGGTCGCGTTTACGAGTAAAGCACAACCTAGTCAAGTTTGGCAAAATTCGTGCTCAGGTAAAGTCGACTGCACAAAATCACCCACACCGCTGTACTAGACTGAACGCACGCGAGTGTGCGTGCAATGCGGCTGCCGTGCACGGGCGCTATGATCACTCATGCGCGCGAATGCCAAAGTTAGCCCGCAAGACACACGCTCACGGGCGTTCAGCCTGGGCAATTCCCCGCAGTCAACTATTCAGATAATCTCCGGGGGCAGGCGCTCAGACAATCGCCGGGGGCAAGCGGGCACCGGAAAAATAGATGGCTGATTTCTTGCACCCCGATCGCCAACTTTTTGGAAAGCAATCAGGACTTTTCGGGACGCCGCTTGCTGAGTTCCCGATTCCTCAGAGATTCAGCAATATATCTGCAAAGGATAAGAGCGAAAAAAGATTCAACAAGCGGTCTCTCAAAACTCGCTGAAGATTTTCCTGGAACTTGCGAGCGGAATGCGAAATGTCAGCAACGCGTATTTTCCGGCGCCCGCCTGCCCCCGGCGATTATCCGAGCGGTCCGCAAACTCGTGCTTTTCTGCAAGCGGTCAGCAGAATTTTGGGGCGTGGCCAAAACTTCAGCGAGCGGTACTTTCTTTACTGTCTAATGTTCTGCCGGCGGGCAGCAACACAGAATTTTCTGCAGGCGCTCGTCAAATAATCTCTTTCAGCAAACGCCGGCCGAACTTTCAGCAGGTGCTCGGATTCTTTTTACGCAGTTTCGGGCTTACGTCAAGCACAGGTAAGACTCTGTGTGGGTGAGGTGTCACCTTGGTTTAATTACTCAAGTTTGAGATACTTTCTCTTAGCGGGAAGTACCTGGGGGGTGCGCATTCCTCCACAAAGGCCGTGCGGCCCCCGAAAACTTTGCATATTCTCGCGGAAAGTCCGCGAGAATGCGGCCACTGCAGTTAATCTATAGGGAAACCGCGATTGTTCTCCAAGCATTCGTCTAAAATTTCGCTAAAATTCTTCCAAATATCTGCAAGCGGACCGCAAGAAATCAGCGAACTATTTTTCCGGTGCCCGCCTGCCCCCGGCGATTGTCTGAGCGCCTGCCTCGGCGATTATCTGAGTAATCAGATAATCGCCGGATGCAGGCGGTCCGCAAACCCGCGCTTTTCTGCAGGCGGTCAGCAAATTTTTGAGGCTTGGCCAAAGATTCAGCGATGGTACTTCCATGTCCTGCCAGCGGGCAGCAATACAAAATTTTCTGCAAGCGCTCGCCAAATAGTCTCTTTCAGCGAGCGCGGGCCAAACTTCCGGCAGGCGCTCGGACTCTTCTTACGCTGTTTCAGGTGTACGCCGAGCAACGGTAACACTCTACGTAACAAAGATGTAATCAATGGTTCATTTACCCGAGTCCGGGTAATCTCTCAGCGGAAGGTACCTAGAGGCTGTGTGGTCCTTATAAGGCCCCGTATGCACGTACATCCTTGCTGAGAAGGGGAGGGAATCTGAGAAGAAATGCGTCATACCTCGCTACTCTAGATATCTTTCTCTTCCTTCTCTATCTCTTTTATAAAGGTTCCATACCCTCATACCAGCGCATAATGAATGCCAGGTTACTGCGATACAAGATTGGTTTTTTGCTACTTTAAGTAATCCCTTGGGGTTTCCCTGGAGAGCTCTCATTTTTAAAGTGATTTATCTTACAGAGAAGTCAATGAAAACGCTGCAGGGTTGTACTGAGGATATATTACGATGTTGCTCAGCATGTTTTCGACAGGAGAAATGGAATCTGAAATTTTTTTCGATAATCCCTAGCTCGCGATCAGTGGTTCATTTCGATATCCTGATATTTCACATAATTTTACTATAACCATGTTTAGCAATGCCGTAGTATATCCTCAATACAATTTTGCAGTATTTTCAGTGACTTCTCAATAAGGCAATTGACTTTGGAAATGAGAGGTGATTGATTCTCTGGGGATCGCAGGGGATCCTCAGAGGACCACACAGAAAGGCAAAAAACCAGTCCTTTAAGGCAGTGATTTGGCACCATGCGCTGGTATAAGGGTATGTAACCTTCATAACCAAGATAGAGAAGGAAGAAAAAAGATATTTACAGTAGCGGGATATGACACACCCCTCTCAGATTCCCTCCCCTCCCCAGTGGGGTGTACAGTCGAGTAGATTTTCCGGTGTGCTTGCACTGTCGGTGAAATGCGGTAAAATTTGCCCGTAAAAAATTAGTCACACCAATAATGCCGGTATTCTGCGCGCGCAAATGGAAGGCGTCACAGGCGTAGCTATTTCTTCACGCGCAAATTTTACCGCATTGCGCCTACAGTGCAAATACACTATATTGAGTGGAAATTCTACTCGACTGTACGTGCATACGGGGTAACATAGATGACCAAGGGCCGCATGCATTAACATCCCCGCCGAGGAGGGGATCGCTGCTTGGAAAGCTTCAAATTCTGTAGCTCCAAACTTCTGGATTTCAGCTGTCTACCCATCCGTAAGTACCCCTACCATCTTTCACTATGAACAGATTGAACAGGGGCGAGAAGCTGTATAAGCCACAATTTCTAGCAATTTGTATAATCCTGATGATCCCCGGTGACACTGCCTTTTCTTCAAAATCATTTTTCTTTCTTCGAAGTTAATGAAAACTCCAAAATTGTACCGTTCGTCTAGCCCAACAGTAGCATGTTGCTGGTAAGAACAAATGATGTATGAGAGTCATGAAATTTGCGATGAACCACAAATCAAATGTTGGGGTTTATCGAAAAATTCGTTTTCCAAAACTCTCTGTTCTTATCAGCAACATGTTTAGCATGTTGTTAGATGTTCAGTACAACTCTGGAAGGTTTCTCGCTGATAAAGAAAAGACGGTCGACCGCCGGGGATCATCAGGGGATCATACAAAATGCTGGAATATACGGCTTGTACAGCTTCTCGCTCTTGTTCAAAATGTTCATAGTGAAGGTTTGTAGGAATACTTACGGATAGGTATACAGCGTGAAATCCAGGCACTTGGAGCTTCAAGATATGAAGCTTTATTTCTGAGCTGCGATCCCCTCCCCAGCTGGGATGTCAATGCATGCATGCATGCGGCCCCAAATGACTAGTTGGGCCAGCTCGTAAGCTTCGGGGACTTGCTGCGGACGACCAAGTTAGCATGGCTTCGCCTTCTAAGCAGGACACAAGGGTCAATTGTTATAACCTTATCAAGATGGATTCATCAATTTTGTTAGAGAAAGTTCTATGCAGGACTGGTACAAGACTCTACAGGCAAAACAGCACTGCTGGCAGCTTTTTCTCAAAACTTCAATCTGAGAGTGCTGTTTCCATTATTTCGAAGTAATAGGAATAATTATAAGTAAAACGATATCTCACCGTTTAAGACTGCTTTTGAAGTTTCTGTCGCACCGCCTATGAAAGCAGTGTTGATAAATTGGAGAAATGAATAGCATAGCTGGCAATTCAGAAACTCCTTGTTTGTATAAAGAGAGATACCATGGTTCCGCTTGATGGGCGCTTCTGAAATGGACAAAGGAAGAATCATGGAATGAGCTCCTGCATAACAAATAAATAAAATGTGCCAGTTTGTTTACTCAATGGGTCTAGTTGAATATTCAATTACTTTATTGCACATATGATGTTTGAAGATCTTATAACTAGACTCTGGGTGTAAGCATTAGTGCCAACATCCCGAAATGCTGCTAAAACCTATGCTGCTAGAATTATCTTTCAGCGGCGGATCGAGGATTGTGTCGCGGATTCGCGACTTCCTTCAAAGGTTGCCGCCGCCGCGCTGCGAAGGGGTCCCAAAACGCCGTCCTCCTGCTGTCCCGTCTCTCACCTCTCTCACCTGCGCAGCGTCTAAATAAGTCACGTAGTCATTCTTCGCTGCTGTCGCCATCGTGAGCGGTCGGGTTCCAATTCATCTCAAGCCATCGATCGATCCGGCGCTATCCCCAACTTACGCGTCGCTTCCATCAACGCCACGGAGGACTGGCTCCCACACTACGAGGTAACCCCGAGCGCGCTCGCGCCTGGCACACGCCGGCGACACCGCCTCGGGGGGTTTCCGATATTGCCAGCCCCTAGGATAACAACTGGCTGGTTGTGCTCATCCTGTATGCTTGAGTATAGGGATAAGTTGCGGATAAATGGTGGGCATTTTACAGGTGTGAATTGTATTGAAGCGGTGGGCCACAGCTCGGCTGTGGCTCCGGGTATATTTGTGTCATCTATATTCACCTGTAATTCATAACCAAGCCTAGTGGGTAAGACCAGTCAGAAGGCTGGCACGATGCTAGCTAAGTGTCACGGTTATGTGTACACGCCCCAACTGTCGATGGTTGAAGGTATGGTCGAGTCACAAGTGACGAGTCGCTACTAAGCAGGCTGGTGGCAAGGGCCTCTACGTTTGTATGGACTACCCATGTGGCAGGCACAAGTATAGTCGTCCTCACCCCACTAGTCGGTCGGTGGTCGAATTTGAATTCGAACTGGAGCAGACCGGCCGCGGCAGAGCGCGGCAGACCGCCCCTCAGCTAACCGCTTGCACATAAGCTTTTCTCTTATTTTCTTCGTGTTTGTTTGCTATCTTTCGTACTGCGGCAATGTTCCTTATCAGATTTTTAGATTTTGCACCGCTAACTATTGTTTTGTGCAGTTGTGCTCCTTTGTTTTAGTACATTTTTTCATGTAAACCGGGAAGAAGGATGCGATTGGTGATTTTTGGATGAGAAATCTCTTTTTTCCGGTAAGTGACATACACACAAATGTGATTTGATGAATTGTGTCAAGTTTTTTGTTAGAATGTGTACTCTAGACTATTCTTTTGCGTTAAGGCTGGAATTCTTTCAAAAATGTTTGTTTCAAAGAGTTAGCGGTAGGAATTTGAAGGTCTGATTAAGAACATTGCCGCAATACGAGAGATAGCAAAGAAACACGAAGAAAATAGGAAAAAAGCTCATGGAAGCGGTTGGCTAAAAGGCAGTCTGCCGCGCTCTGCCGCGGCCGGTCTGCTCTAGTTCGAATTCAAATTCGACCACCGATCGATTAGTGGGATGAGGACGACTATAGCGTTCACACAGGTAGCCACCTCACATGATACGTTTCACTCTTTCACGGAACGGACCCCTGGCTCCCCTCGCCGATGCAGGAGAGCCGTTGTACCACTGACGTTGGGAGCTGGGGGCCCAATCCGCGACAGATTGAGACACCCCCGAGAAGGCTCACGAAGTTTTGAAAGTTGCTTGAGTTATATTAAGGCGTCCGAAATTAATTTCGCTTTTTTGGATTCCAAAATTAATTTTGCTTTTGGATAACCGCCACATTTCGCAGAACAAGGATTTGTAGAAGTTTTGGTAGCATTTAATGCATATTTTCATGCTCTTTCAAAAGGCTAGTATTATAACATTCAGCAAATGAGCTCTTAGAAAATTACCAAAAGTCACGATCCATGGTTTTTACCAAGGTCAGGTATTTCTCAATTTTGCACTCATTCTCTCCAAAACTCGTCATAATTTTTTTGACAGAATTTATAAAACACCATCGAAATTTAACAGACATACATATACAATACCGCTCATAATTCGTCAAAAAAGTCGCCGGACTGCGGCGCACTCCGCCGGAGTGCGACGCAGTCCGGCGACTTTTTTGACGAATTATGAGCGGTATTGTATTAGGCGCAGGCTCGTCAAACACCAATAAATTATCGATTTTTGATACTTTCACGGTAGGTAATGATTTCGCATTGACATTACAAAACAAATGAGTGTTTAGGGATCCGAAATATCAAATCTTGAAGTTTCCGGGTTCAACTTGAGGCTCCTCCCAAAATATTTATTTTGTCGATTATATCCCACAAGACTTTGCGAATCAGGAACAAAAATTGCCTCTTTCAAAGGGAAGAAGATGTTGCATCAAATACCTTCCCCCCCCCCCTCCTCCGAGTTGCTGATGTTTCCTGAGGTTTAACTTGAGCAAATACGGAATTTGATAGCATCAATAAAAAATAATTTTGCTTTGAAAAATAAGTTATGTAAGGGAAAATCGTTTTATAAGGTTCTTTATTCGTCCGCTATGAAGTTGTTGGGGGAATCACAAAAATTCGAAAAATAGCAAAACTTGACCTTGGCAAAACCATGGTTTGCAGTTTTTGGTGATTTGTTATGAGCTCGTTTGTTGCAGTGAAAGGAACATGACCATTTGAAAGAGCGTAAAGAAGTGCATCGAATCTACAGGATCTTTTACATAACTTTCTTCCGCGGAATGTGGCACATGTTCAAAAAAAAAACTTTCGGGCCTAATAGAAATGTGCATGTGTCTTGTTTATATTTGTGAAGATTTAGGATAACTTTGAAATTTTTGAAAATTCAAATTAGCCTTGTATAAAGCCTTTACTAGGGTTTTTCTCGGAAACAAAATCCTTACCTATTCCGCAAGTTTTCTGAGGATCGACCATGGATGCAAGAAGATGAATAAAATCTTTGACAACGGTCATTATCTGAATTTTTCGAAATTGCATAATGGGGCAACCATCATGCTAAGAGTTATAAGTCACCAGTTGGTTGTTGCTAAGTTCCTTCTTGAGACAGCTTTTATCGTCTTTGCAAAGCCGTTTGCTCACAATTTGTAGAGTGTCCGTATGCTCGTTCTGCAGCAGAAAATTCTCAAACCTTGTAGATCATTAACGAGTATAGCATAAACTGTAACAGTTATCCCTATCAAAGCAATGAAATAATATCAAGCATTTGTTTGCTAATCAATCTTGTAATGTGACTCACAGCATGCTCAGCCATGGCTGACAGTGCTTCACATGCTGCCGCATTCAAATTCGCCTTTTCGCAGACGGGTCTGCAGTCAGCAGCTGGACCCTGGAAGCCCTCATTTTTGAATGAATTGACAGAAAACTAGAGTTTGATACTTCTAGAATGTGATTTGTCCATTGCTGGAATGCTTGTACAGCGGGAGGGCGCATGACAGGTGGCAGAACTGCGATACCGGATTTTACCTGCAAGATAAGCATAGCTGAGATATTTTGTCATATTCTTGCAGCTACGGTAGCGTACAGCTCTAAAAAGAATTGTAACATTCAGAGTAACATTGAATTGGGGTTTCAAAAGTCTTGGCATATTGATAACTCAAAACACTATCCAACTTCTTTGCAATCTTGAATTGACGCAAACAGTATCATCACCTCGGATATATAGAGTTTTTCTCAGCGAGGTAGAAGACAGACTTTGATGCGCTGTTCAATCGATTGGCAGTTATTCATCAGGTAATTCGTATTATCTAGTAGAGAGCTTCAGCATTTACGCAGGCGCAATGTGGCTGGAGTGCGAATGGCAGTAAATTTATACATTATTTCCTTCCCAGTCCCAGTCGTTTCCTTTCGCTTGAATACGAAATGAGAAAGCGAAAAACTGCGGACTTTTCTTTCAGACCATGATTATAATGATACACTGCTATTAGGTTGATGCAAAAATATTGGCCGTTTTGCAAATTCTTACTTTGGCCTACTATAACTTTCCAAAAAATTTATATTGTCGAGTGTAGTAAAGACTATCAGAAGCAACAAACCTTTTGCAATACAGCGCATACTGAGCTATGCTCACGTCACGGACGGGCGGAAAGACATGGATTGAAAAGTAAAAACAATTTTTTTCAGACCCTTTCAACAGAGCATAACTCCCTTCAAAGTTTGTTAGTATAAATGATGGGTTGCCTATCTTGTAGCCGTAAGCCAGTAGGACAAGACGAAATGGGAAGGGCTTGGACTAATAAAATTTGCAGAGAAGGAAAAACCTAAATTCAAAATTGTCACTTTTTCAACATTTTCCATTAGGTCTCAAAGTACCAAATTATAGAATTTTCTAAATCTTCCGCATACTGAACGATAAAAGTTCTTGCAAAAAGTGTAAACAGGTTGTGCTTATAAAAATGAGCAAAGAGTTTGGCAATTGTTTCTTTTTTCAGAAAAAATTTCAAAACGAACAACCATGTTGAGACGCCTATATCTCGGTCTACATAATTTCTGAGAGGATGTTAAGGTGTCCATGATGCAGATAATTTCTTTAATATAAAGTAGCTAAATTTCCGAAGGATAGCCCTTATTCGGGCTCAAATTCTGGCCGGAAAGTGAATGCAACGAAATTCTGACTTTGAATGCCGTTATTTGAAGCTCTGTAACTTGTTAGAAAATGATGTAGCCGGTTTCAATCATCAGTAGTTAGAACACGAAAAGATGTTGTTAATGGTATGCTATGATTATTTCAAAGACAAGATTTTGATGAAAAAAGTTGTACTGAAAAAGGCTTGGAAAAACAGCTATTTTTTGCATCAACCTGATACACATTTCGATGTAAACATAAACACGAAGTTACCTCCTTCAAAGTCTGAGGCCGCTCTTTCAGTGCACTCATTATGCGGCAGGTAGTGCAGTCATTGAAAATTGCACGAGCATGCTTGGTGATCTCGCTGCTGGTCAACTCAGCGTAAGTGACTGCTGTAAAAAATGTACTTTGCAAACAAAAAAAAGGAAGTAGCACTTTTTTGATGCACCTGTTAGAAAAAGCACAAGTACAAGACGACGCATGTCAAGCTAACTCCCTTATCACTATACTTCTTTCACTCTTATCACTTGCAACCACGCAATCTTCGCATTTTTACATTTCGGAAGAGTCACACCTTTTTAGCATTTTCTTCATTACTTTGGGTTTCCATCTAATGGTTGGTTGTTATTCACGTTCTTTGAGCGTAAACTGTGCACTCGGCTATGCATGCTTTATGAATTCATTTGAGGCATCGGACACCGTTATAGCAGTCATTCTCGGATATAGCAAGAAGGCTTGACTCAGCTGCAGTTTGCAGAAGGAATTATATACTTTTCAGGTTTTTTCTTTTGGGATGGAAGCATTATCGAACGGTTGTTACAATGTAGGCAAGAAACGGCGTTAATTCTTTCCAAATTTTTTGCACAACTTGTACGATCCATATTCAGTCGCTTCTGATCATTGCTTTATCAAATCACCAGTTGGCGTATCCGGCTCCGTCCACTCTGTAATACACTATATTGGAGATACTATGTTTTACTTCCGTAACATTTTCCTATCCCGTTCTCACCTCTATATTAGAGGTGCCCTGTTTCCATAGCTTCTTAATCAGCATGGCTTAACCTCTACGTCATCTCACAGCTCCGTAGCCCAAACTTCCGAAAAAATCGGTAAATTCGATCGTAATCGAAAACGACAAAACTTATATTGTATTTATTATCAGCATGCTCACTTACCCCCGCACTGTGCCAAGTCCCAAACCCGTAGCTCAAACTTTGCAAAAAATAGGTAAAAATTGATAAAATCGATACCAATCGACGACGAAAATTAGCCGATGACATCCGCCCGGCCCTGATTTGTATGCGTACAAAGTTTGGTCAAGATCGGTTCAGAAGTATTAGGTTGGTGCAAAAAATAATGAGCGTTTTGCGAGTCCTTTCTTTGAGGTATGCTATAACTCTTTGGAAAATCCAGACTTTTCGACGCGACAAAAACCGTCAAAAGCAGCAATCTTTTTGCAATACAGCGCACATTCAAACTCATATCACAGACAAGCAGAATATGGATTGAAGAAAAAAAAGGTTTCTTACTTTTGACAAATCATAACTCCTTCCAAAGCTTGCTAATAAAAGTGATAAGTGGCCTATTTTGTAGCCGATAGTACAAAATAAGACGAAAGGGCTTGGACGAAGGAGATTTGCGAAAAGAACAAAAATCAAAAACCAGAACTGTCACCTTTTCCAACATTTTTTTCAAAGGTCTCCAGGTCCCAAATTATGAAGTTTTTTTTTTGATTTTCTGCGTACTGAATATGAACGCCTTTGCAAAAAACTGTCAACAGGAGGCCCTACCCTTACGTTTATAAAAATGAGCGAAGTTTGACGCATGCTTTTTTTAGTAGAAATCTATCGACCACAGACCAAATTCTTCTGCACAGCAGCTGAGTCGAGTGAAGGCCAACATTCGCGCATGAGTTCTGGCCAGAAAAATAAATGCAATGAAATTTTGATTTTGGGTGCGGATATGCGAGGCTCTGGAAATTTTCGACAAACGAGGCTAGAAGCTGTTTCAAACATCATTAAAAGAGCATGAAAAGATCTTTTCAATAGTATGCTGAATCTGATTCGAAGACGATAGTTTGGTGGAGAAAAGTTGTCCTGAAACAAGGTGTAGCAAAACGCTCATTACTTTGCACCAAACTAATAAAAAAAACTCTATTCGGAATACGTACGAATGAATATATAGACAAGATATGCAGACATACATACATGCAAACAGACATTTATATTTAAATATAGGATTATGGTATCAAACTCATGCTTCTATCGAGCCAGATTGTACCAGCTTTATTTCTATCTTGGTCAATCATTCTCTGCTAGAAAAATGCTAGCCCTAGCTAACCTTTGAAAATAATTAACAGCAAGCAATTAGGTCATTGTGCAACTGGCAAGTTTGCGCGACAAAATCTTTTATGAATTTTTGGAAAATCTTTGATTTGAATCTTATAAGGAAGGCTACCTAACTTAGCTCGACCTTTTGGTGAAGTGCATAAATATCCTGAATCAGCTTCAAACGCTGATTCCAAATATGCTATTTCTAGCTGCCGCGCACCATTCCGAAGAGAGTTATGGGCGTTTTCCTACGCAAAATTGGCATACCACTAAACATGAGAAGACTGCCTGTAGATAAAAATCTGCAAGAAAAAGGTGCTGAGGTATGGAAATAGTACAAATCCAATCTTTTCTCACTAAAAAAAGCTCAACGCAGGTGTATCAGCACACTTAAATGCTGATGACGTGATGCCCATAAGTCGATGAGCCGTGCCAATTTTGCGCAGGAAAAAGCCCACAACCCGCTTCGGAATGATGCGTGGAAGCTAGAAATAGCATATTTGGAATCAGCGTTTGAAGCTGATTTAGACTGTATATGTCCCTTGCCAAAAGGCCGAGCGAATTTAGGTAGCTTTTCTTGTTAGAAATTTTCAAAAACTATTTTAGTTTTCTGCAAGTAACAAGCGTTAACTTGGTTTTTGGCTCATTCAAAAAACCATCGTTGCTTTTTCAAAGATAAACATAGCTTTTTTCAAATGCAAATGTACAAATGTTTTGTTGAGATCACAACAATCACGCCACGAGCATCACATTAATTATATCCGCGTGGCTGACGCATCTGAAGTGAGTGATAGAACACTAATCGACAAGATCATGGGAAACACACATACAAGTTTCAGAGGCAAAGTATGCCCCTAGGAGAACAATAAGATGTTTCGAACTAATAAAATCTTTGATGAGCCACAAGTCAAACTTGGGTTGGATCGAAGTCTCGATACACCGACGTCTCATTCGTTCTTATCAGAAATATGCTTCGCAACATCGGACTGGATAATCAGCACAATCTTGTGATGTTTTCATTGAAAAGAAAGAGAAAAGACCTGTTGGTAATAAATTCCGGATGGGATCGTCTGAAAAATTATACAAAATATAGTCGGGGACAACACCCAATGCTCATTTCCTGCTATTAGATACCCATTTCTTCCATGTTTGTATACCAAAAATGAATATCAAGTGATAAATAGGTAAGCTGTACCAAAAAGATAGTGAGGCACTAGCTCAGAAGATTAACGCGAGACATCCCCGCAAACATTGATTCACGTGAAGTTTAGAGCAAAACCTGAGGAAAAATTTGAGTACCGAAAAATCCGATTTTCATTTGAAACCCCCCCCCCCCCAACGGATCTATAAGTTGTCATGCATATTTTCGCATTTTTTTCCTCCGCTTTTCTTCTAGCACATGTTGGCTTACCATAATAACAGTTTTGAGCAGTTTCAGGGCGATTTCATTTATTCGAGCGATTTACGGCTAGCTTCAATAAATAAAATCGCAATGTGTTTTGGACCTTCCAGATCTGACAGACGCCTAAACCTTCTACAGCAAAATTTTTATTTTCAAATCCAATTTTTTTCTTTTGACCTTCGGCCTGCGATTGTTTTCAGATCTTAGCTTCTTCCATTTTTCAGATACTATTAGCATTAATGACAGAATGACATAAAGTTTATTGGGTGAAACGGAATGCACTGATTGTAGGCACATTACAAAATTTCAAGGGACACTGACGCAAAGGTCGAAGATTTGCTCTTGAGGTGGTCAGCAACTTTTTGAAGGAGTGATTTCCATCGTTCTTCTGTCATGGGAGTAGCAGAAGATTTAACCTAGAATTTACAGTAAAATACGATATAACACTCGTAGTCAACAGCTGAGACAAACTAGAGATAAAGAGAAAGATTAAGTTTAGCGAAGCGGAAGGCATTTCGGTTTTTCTCCTTTACCCGGACCCATTTTTTTCAGAATGTTTTCATCGAATACCTGTTCTTAAGTAGAAAATGTTTTCCATAGATCTTATAGGACTGCCTTCCTGCCACGTGCCAAGAAACACGTTCAAGCTTAGTTTGATATGTTTCTTCGAAATCGTTTCCGGTTACGAAGGCATACGAACTCAAAGGCTGTTCAGAGCTTTTTGGATGGCAAAACGGTTTTAAACGTTCATTAGAATTTTGCTAACATTTAGTAGTAGTTTAAATAGTTTATCCTCAAATTGTTTTCGCCTTGCGAATTTAGCCAGGAAAGAATAGAGATGATGGCTCGAAGTACCTAGTTACTGCTTGTTTCGTCGCTCATTGTTAGATATGAAACAGTAGCCCACTCCTCTGTTTTGGGCAAAGTTAATGTGTTTGTTGAGCACACGAGGTTATATAACTGAAAGCTTATGAAAATGTTGACAAAAGTGGGTAATTATTAATAAAAAAAACAGTGAAGTCATCTGTAAGTACGCTAAACAAACACTTGGTGAAACTTGTCAGACGTGTAGATGACATGTCAATTTTTTTTTGACACGTGGCAGGAGCTTGACTCTCCATCCTGTGAGTTTTTACCAAATTTGGCAAAAGGAAAGATAAATATTCTTTTTTGGAAGAATGGGTCCGGAAAACGAAAAAAAGCGAATTTTAGTGAAAGTTTAGCAAAACAAATGACTCAAAACCAAATGCATCGTTAATTCGTTGACCGCACGGACTGCTCAAACGCTGCGGACCACGCGCGGAGCGGCTGAAATTTTGCAAGAGCACAACTTGGCGAATTTGTGGGGCAAGCGTTTTACCTCGCGACGCATACTCCGAAGTGATGTTCAGTCCGTGCGTTCAACGAAACGACTATACATAGTAAGACGCTGAGGCTTGGTGCACAAAATTATGCCTTGGACTCAACTGAATGTTAATCGTCTTACCGTGATGCTCCCATAAACATGGACTCGGTTTTCATTCAAGTGCAATATGTCCTCGTCTTCGAATACACCGGCGGGTGGATCAGCTGGACCACACGTGAATTTCGTAGCATTACAACATCTGTGTGGAGATGCTAGCTATCTCTTTAGCCTAACTAGAAAAACTCACTTGATTGGACTGTAGTGGACTGTTACATCAACCTTGTCGCGGTCGATTGAAAGCTTTCCGGCAGCATCCATTACCTACATCGCTATTTTCCGGATATTTTTCACAAACCTTAATTGAACCCACAGCTTCTTTCATAAAATTCTCGAAGTTCCGCCGAGCTGCCACGCGAGCACGTCTACGTTTTCGAAAGCCCCGCTCACAATAGGTGAACTCAGTCCTCCAGTTCTCATTGATACCCATCATAAGGAAGTCAATTGCTTAAGAAGTATTCAGATGTAAGACAAAATAGTTTGTGTCAATTATTGTAGACTGATTTATGCAAGCTTGAAGAGCAATTGACGTAAGCTATGCTAGTTCAAATTATTTCAGATAACGCAGGTTTCAATCAATGGCGGGCGGAAGTGGGGGACGGGGGGAGGGCGCGCGCTCCTTCCCCCCCCCCCCTCGAGAATGGGTCGCAAAATTTTTGGGAATTACTTTCATGGGTTAGGAAATGTACGAGTGACTTGTTTATTTTTGTAAATAATTTAAATACTTTATAACATTATATATGAGTCCAAATTAACCCTGTAAAAAATTTTTTCGGAGCGTGGCCGTCACGCCCCCTTCTCTATTTTAGGGTATGACCCTCAAAAATTTTGGGAAGCACCCCGAAAGATTTTTCGGAGTGCGCGGCTAACGCAACGCACCTTCACTTACAGAAAAAAACTTGTCCTCCCCCCCCCCCCCGCCCTCTCCGGACGGAAATCCTGACCACCACGGGTTCGAATATGTATGCATGGGGCTATAGACAGAGTTGGTAACACATGAAGGCAGGTCATGCTAATTACAAATATAGTTGAAGATTATTGATGGCATTTGTATTTAGTTATACGAGTTTGGCACTCGAGTTCCACGAGGAAAGTTTATAAGCAGTCTGTCTTACATGCTAAACTGCTTTTGAGAAAACTTAAGAGCCCAAAATAGTGTTATCAGCGAACATGTTCGTTTGCGATTTTTTTTTTCTTTCTAGGATCATGAAATGGCGAGAATCGTTGTACTCTCTGCGAATGGTGCTTCTTTATGTAGACTTTCGTTGTTTTTAGCTGAAGTGCCTTTTCTTATGCACTCTATACCATTCTAAAGAGGTTCGAACTCTGATTATAAATTTGCTTTCATTACCTGCCAAACGTCTCAGGACGCGGAGTTATGAGCATTTTTCTCGTTGGAAAAATAAAGCTCAAATGGTTGTGAGACAAATGGTCCAGAATTGCATAAAATGTTCAATGCTAACTATGAGAATTTTAGGCGATGGATATTTTTTACAGCATAGTCACACCTAACACTGCTATACTGGAGCTCTGGAACGAACATTCGATTTCACTCAAATTCGCATGCATTAAATTCTAATCGACACTCTTAAAGGCAGTGCCCCGGCAGATTTTGCACCTCTACCTTTTTGCATGCTTTAGGCGTTTTCGCCACGTAGAATCCGAATTTGAGCTTTGAAGGGGCTGAAAAGGCCGATTTTGGGGCGTTTTCCTAATTCCAGAAAAGCAGCTTGGACGAGATTTTTGATGGAAAGTTGGGGGAGGTCCTCAGGCGAAGATCCTGCCGTCTGTAATTCTTGCTTTGGATAGCATACATCGTGGGGGAGAGCGCTCGTGGGGTCCCGCGCCGAACAGGCGGGGAAGGCCGTCCAAGCGCGCGCCAGTTGGGGTTGCGCGCGCCGGTTCAAGGGCCATTTTCTCGGCCCAGGGGGAACATCACCTAGCCGGAGTGCGCCTGGAGGTCGATGGGGTGACCAGGAACCCCATCACACCTCCCCATCACATCCGTATATCCCCCAGGACCCGAATCTGCCGGGACACTGCCTTTAACTCGGGATCCAGAGGTTTAGATAGTGAAAATAGGTAAGGAAATAAGCGTTTAACCTCTTCATAATGGTATAGACTTCATTTGAAGAGGCCATTTCAACTAAAAGCACTTCCCTTGTCGGTGCAGTCGTCAAGACGCCTTTTCTCAGTTGCCTGTTTTTGGATCTCTTTAGTTCTTATAGGGTATTATCACCTGAGTCAAGCAAGAGGTGTGGCACACGATTGCTAGATACGATCCCCCCTCTAACTTTTCAAAAAGACTCCCCTAAACTATTGCATACCTAATTTAGCATAAATTGTAGGCACTATCAACATAACGAGTAATAGGCCCGTAACTAGCATGTCAAATAACCTCTGTGAACCAAGTTTGAACGAACTCTGAAGCTTCGAAATACTAGACCTGAGCGAAATGGTCATTTTCGAACATGTTCTACTTTGTTTCAAAGATAAACCAGCTACATTTTTTTGCACTCAAGGAGCACTACTCCTTCTTTGAACAAAAATCCCGCTTCGAAAGAACTCCAAACTGTGGTACTAGAAGCCGATCTACCTACATCTCGTTTGCCCCTATTTCGCTTGTGATGGTTGTGCTTTCCCCAGCTATTACTCAGGGCAGCGAAGACGAATCAAGCTACACTCCTGTAAATTCTAGGTACTTGAACTACCGATTCATATGAATATTGTTCGCTAGAAATCTTTTTGTGACATAGTTAGTGGGGTGTGGCAGCCTCACCTTTTTTGAAGTCATGCAACACCCCATTAACTTACTTTGAAAAACACTTTTAGCTAATAAAATTTATATTATCCGGTGGCCTAAATCTCGTAGAATTGACAGGAGTGATTTAACTATTTCTGCTTTCGGACTATTGCTGCACATGGTGCATCATAGAGTTTCCACTTGTCTCTAGCTTCCTTAAACCGGTCTCCTTTCGATATGACAATTGCAATTTCACATTTAATCAAATGTTTGGTTTGCCATCGGAAATTATCAGTTGTGAAACTGCGCAAACTTTTCCCTGGCAGTAGCTCCTGCATGTTTCCAGTGGAGCTCTGCAAGCTTCGAACCAGTGCTTATCTTTGTGAAAGGAATGTTTTCATCAAATCTGAGAACTCTCTAGACCACTGAGCCCAATTTTTGAGCTAAAAGGTGCGCCGAATTTGAGTTAAGGTGATGGTAGATTTTGAAGTATACCAAATAGTGCTTTGTCTGTTATATTCGCAAACCGCCACTGAACATCCAGATGCTACAGACTTTGTATACGAGCACGGATCAGGCGATTATCTCTTGGCAACCTTGTAATTTATCCATTTTGCGGTCATTTGGCCACAAGAAAATTTGCTCCGTAAAATCTCCTTTTTGGGAGTTTGATGAATGCCGGCTGCACAGCACATCTCAAGGCTCAGGGGTGCATCTGTAGCCTAAGTGCTGGAAGGTAAGAAGTGTTCCGAAGAAGTTTAGCAGAAAGTGGCCGCAAGTTTTGACCAACGCCGTTTTCGCCGTTGTCCCCCAGGTCCCTTCTGTGTGCATGAAACTGCAAAATTTCTTGACACAGAATTAAGGAGTGTGATTTGTACGTAATATCAAAAACTGGATTCTTTCTATGCGAAACAGTGTAAATTATAGCAAAATGTCAGAGGCTGCAAACCTTTGGCCAGCATTGTATTGCGAACAATCGCGTTACCTGACAGACTGCTTACGATTTTCACGTTGTCGCTATTAAAAGTATTACTCGATTACGACCCCCCCCCCCCCTCTCTTTCTGTGAAGCAATATGTGTAAAAGTGATACAGATGCAGCAGCTAATGAAAAAAGGCCAACTCCTGTTTTTCTGTGGCCTGGATAGTCTGAGTGTTTGATTTGGAATAAATTGTATGCTTCTTCGCAATATAGAGGCTGAGCAACTTCTACGCAGTCAAGTGCGGCTGGGTTAGTCTGGCATTTAAAAAGCATAAAGGAAATAAGCCGTTCAACTTACATTCCATTCCCGGCTGTGTGATGATACCTAATGTTGTAGATTCCGTCGTGGTCGTGGCTTCAGTGGTGTTAGTGATTAGCATGGTAGTCGTGGATGATGGGAAGGAATCAGCTACAGTCTGTGATGAACCGGTTGTAAGTTCTGGCGTTATCGTCTTCTCTGTAACGCGGGCAATGTTCGCGTACGTGACAATGCTTTTTGGAGTAATTACAGTCTCCGTTGTGAAATTGTGTTCTACTGCGCTTCTCTTATCTGAGCCAGTGCCTTCTATAGTGGTCGCACTTTCAGTCCCAGCATCAGTTTCTGCGATAGTTGTGTTCCCTGTTGTAGTTGCATCCTCAGTTTGAGACGAACCTTCAGTAGTTGAGTTTTCTGCGGAGAGCATGCCACTTTCCACCTTTTCTAGGGTTTTTGCATGGGTTACTGCTTCTGCTGTAGTCTTTGCTGCGGTCGTAATCTCATTCGTTGTCCTTTGTGGAATGTATGCACTCTCAGTCGTGCTAGATGCTTCTGCGTTGAATGCGGTTACTGTTGCGAACTCGACTTCTGCAGTCGTTTCGGTCTCAGTCGTAGTAGTAGGCTCTGCTCTAGGCGTGATTTCTGCAGTCATTTCCCTTTCAGTCATATTAGTAGGCTCTGCTGTGGACGTGGCTTCTGTTTCGCTCTCAGTCATGATAGTGGGTCCTGCTGTGGACGTGGTTTCTGCAGTCGTTTCGATCTCAGACATAGCAGTGGGTCCTGCTGTGGACGTGGTTTCTGCAGTCGTTTCGATCTCAGACATAGCAGTGGGTCCTGCTGTGGACGTGGCTTCTGCAGTCCTTTCGCTCTCAGACATAGTAGTAGGCTCTGCTGTGAACGTGGCTTCTGCAGTTGTTTCGGTCTTAGACATAGCAGTGGATCTTACTGTGGACGTGGCTTCTGCAGTCGTTTCGCTCTCAGTCATGATAGTGGGTCCTGCTGTGGACGTGGCTTCTGCAGTTGTTTCGCTCTCAGTCATGGTAGTGGGTCCTGCTGTGGACGTGGCTTCTGCAGTCGTTTCGATCTCAGACATAGCAGTGGGTCCTGCTGTGGACGTGGCTTCTGCAGTCCTTTCGCTCTCAGACATAGCAGTGGATCCTACTGTGGACGTGGCTTCTGCAGTCGTTTCGCTCTCAGTCATGATAGTGGGTCCTGCTGTGGACGTGGCTTCTGCAGTTGTTTCGCTCTCAGTCATGGTAGTGGGTCCTGCTGTGGACGTGGCTTCTGCAGTCGTTTCGATCTCAGACATAGCAGTAGGTCCTGCTGTGGACGTGGCTTCTGCAGTCCTTTCGCTCTCAGACATAGCAGTGGATCCTACTGTGGACGTGGCTTCTGCAGTCGTTTCGCTCTCAGTCATGATAGTGGGTCCTGCTGTGGACGTGGCTTCTGCAGTTGTTTCGCTCTCAGTCATTGTAGTGGGTCCTGCTGTGGACGTGGCTTCTGCAGTCGTTTCGATCTCAGACATAGCAGTGGGTCCTGCTGTGGACGTGGCTTCTGCAGTCCTTTCGCTCTCAGACATAGCAGTGGATCCTACTGTGGACGTGGCTTCTGCAGTCGTTTCGCTCTCAGTCATGGTAGTGGGTGCTGCTGTGGAGGTGACTTCTGCAGTCGTTTCGATCTCAGACATAGCAGTGGATCCTACTGTGGACGTGGCTTCTGCAGTCGTTTCGCTCTCAGTCATGATAGTGGGTCCTGCTGTGGACGTGGCTTCTGCAGTCGTTTCGCTCTCAGACATAGCAGTGGATCCTACTGTGGACGTGGCTTCTGCAGTTGTTTCGGTCCCAGACATAGCAGTGGATCTTACTGTGGACGTGGCTTCTGCAGTTGTTTCGCTCTCAGTCATGGTAGTGGGTGCTGCTGTGGAGGTGGCTTCTGCAGTCGTTTCGATCTCAGACATAGCAGTGGATCCTACTGTGGACGTGGCTTCTGCAGTCGTTTCGCTCTCAGTCATGGTAGTGGGTCCTGCTGTGGACGTGGCTTCTGCAGTCGTTTCGATCTCAGACATAGCAGTAGGTCCTGCTGTGGACGTGGCTTCTGCAGTCCTTTCGCTCTCAGACATAGCAGTGGATCCTACTGTGGACGTGGCTTCTGCAGTCGTTTCGCTCTCAGTCATGATAGTGGGTCCTGCTGTGGACGTGGCTTCTGCAGTTGTTTCGCTCTCAGTCATTGTAGTGGGTCCTGCTGTGGACGTGGCTTCTGCAGTCGTTTCGATCTCAGACATAGCAGTGGGTCCTGCTGTGGACGTGGCTTCTGCAGTCCTTTTGCTCTCAGACATAGCAGTGGATCCTACTGTGGACGTGGCTTCTGCAGTCGTTTCGCTCTCAGTCATGGTAGTGGGTGCTGCTGTGGAGGTGACTTCTGCAGTCGTTTCGATCTCAGACATAGCAGTGGATCCTACTGTGGACGTGGCTTCTGCAGTCGTTTCGCTCTCAGTCATGATAGTGGGTCCTGCTGTGGACGTGGCTTCTGCAGTCGTTTCGCTCTCAGACATAGCAGTGGATCCTACTGTGGACGTGGCTTCTGCAGTTGTTTCGGTCTCAGACATAGCAGTGGATCTTACTGTGGACGTGGCTTCTGCAGTTGTTTCGCTCTCAGTCATGGTAGTGGGTGCTGCTGTGGAGGTGGCTTCTGCAGTCGTTTCGATCTCAGACATAGCAGTGGATCCTACTGTGGACGTGGCTTCTGCAGTCGTTTCGCTCTCAGACATAGCAGTGGATCTTACTGTGGACGTGGCTTCTGCAGTTGTTTCGCTCTCAGTCATGGTAGTGGGTGCTGCTGTGGAGGTGGCTTCTGCAGTCGTTTCGATCTCAGACATAGCAGTGGATCCTACTGTGGACGTGGCTTCTGCAGTCGTTTCGCTCTCAGTCATGGTAGTGGGTCCTGCTGTGGACGTGGCTTCTGCAGTCGTTTCGATCTCAGACATAGCAGTAGGTCCTGCTGTGGACGTGGCTTCTGCAGTCCTTTCGCTCTCAGACATAGCAGTGGATCCTACTGTGGACGTGGCTTCTGCAGTCGTTTCGCTCTCAGTCATGATAGTGGGTCCTGCTGTGGACGTGGCTTCTGCAGTTGTTTCGCTCTCAGTCATGGTAGTGGGTCCTGCTGTGGACGTGGCTTCTGCAGTCGTTTCGATCTCAGACATAGCAGTGGGTCCTGCTGTGGACGTGGCTTCTGCAGTCCTTTCGCTCTCAGACATAGCAGTGGATCCTACTGTGGACGTGGCTTCTGCAGTCGTTTCGCTCTCAGTCATGGTAGTGGGTGCTGCTGTGGAGGTGACTTCTGCAGTCGTTTCGATCTCAGACATAGCAGTGGATCCTACTGTGGACGTGGCTTCTGCAGTTGTTTCGGTCTCAGACATAGCAGTGGATCTTACTGTGGACGTGGCTTCTGCAGTTGTTTCGCTCTCAGTCATGGTAGTGGGTGCTGCTGTGGAGGTGGCTTCTGCAGTCGTTTCGATCTCAGACATAGCAGTGGATCCTACTGTGGACGTGGCTTCTGCAGTCGTTTCGCTCTCAGTCATGATAGTGGGTCCTGCTGTGGACGTGGCTTCTGCAGTCGTTTCGCTCTCAGACATAGCAGTGGATCCTACTGTGGACGTGGCTTCTGCAGTTGTTTCGGTCTCAGACATAGCAGTGGATCTTACTGTGGACGTGGCTTCTGCAGTTGTTTCGCTCTCAGTCATGGTAGTGGGTGCTGCTGTGGAGGTGGCTTCTGCAGTCGTTTCGATCTCAGACATAGCAGTGGATCCTACTGTGGACGTGGCTTCTGCAGTCGTTTCGCTCTCAGACATAGCAGTGGATCTTACTGTGGACGTGGCTTCTGCAGTTGTTTCGCTCTCAGTCATGGTAGTGGGTGCTGCTGTGGAGGTGGCTTCTGCAGTCGTTTCGATCTCAGACATAGCAGTGGATCCTACTGTGGACGTGGCTTCTGCAGTCGTTTCGCTCTCAGTCATGATAGTGGGTCCTGCTGTGGACGTGGCTTCTGCAGTTGTTTCGGTCTCAGACATAGCAGTGGATCTTACTGTGGACGTGGCTTCTGCAGTTGTTTCGCTCTCAGTCATGGTAGTGGGTGCTGCTGTGGAGGTGGCTTCTGCAGTCGTTTCGATCTCAGACATAGCAGTGGATCCTACTGTGGACGTGGCTTCTGCAGTCGTTTCGCTCTCAGTCATGATAGTGGGTCCTGCTGTGGACGTGGCTTCTGCAGTCGTTTCGCTCTCAGACATAGCAGTGGATCCTACTGTGGACGTGGCTTCTGCAGTTGTTTCGGTCTCAGACATAGCAGTGGATCCTACTGTGGACGTGGCTTCTGCAGTCGTTTCGCTCTCAGTCATGATAGTGGGTCCTGCTGTGGACGTGGCTTCTGCAGTTGTTTCGGTCTCAGACATAGCAGTGGATCTTACTGTGGACGTGGCTTCTGCAGTTGTTTCGCTCTCAGTCATGGTAGTGGGTGCTGCTGTGGAGGTGGCTTCTGCAGTCGTTTCGCTCTCAGTCATGATAGTGGGTCCTGCTGTGGACGTGGCTTCTGCAGTTGTTTCGCTCTCAGTCATGGTAGTGGGTCCTGCTGTGGACGTGGCTTCTGCAGTCGTTTCGATCTCAGACATAGCAGTGGGTCCTGCTGTGGACGTGGCTTCTGCAGTCCTTTCGCTCTCAGACATAGCAGTGGATCCTACTGTGGACGTGGCTTCTGCAGTCGTTTCGCTCTCAGTCATGACAGTGGGTCCTGCTGTGGACGTGGCTTCTGCAGTTGTTTCGCTCTCAGTCATGGTAGTGGGTCCTGCTGTGGACGTGGCTTCTGCAGTCGTTTCGATCTCAGACATAGCAGTGGGTCCTGCTGTGGACGTGGCTTCTGCAGTCGTTTCGCTCTCAGACATAGCAGTGGATCCTACTGTGGACGTGGCTTCTGCAGTCGTTTCGCTCTCAGTCATGATAGTGGGTTCTACTGTGAACGTGGCTTCTGCAGTCGTTTCGCTCTCAGTCATGATAGTGGGTCCTGCTGTGGACGTGGCTTCTGCAGTCGTTTCGCTCTCAGACATAGCAGTGGATCCTGCTGTGGAGGTGGCTTCTGCAGTCGTTTCGATCTCAGACATAGCAGTGGATCCTACTGTGGACGTGGCTTCTGCAGTTGTTTCGCTCTCAGTCATGGTAGTGGGTGCTGCTGTGGAGGTGGCTTCTGCAGTCGTTTCGATCTCAGACATAGCAGTGGATCCTACTGTGGACGTGGCTTCTGCAGTCGTTTCGCTCTCAGTCATGATAGTGGGTCCTGCTGTGGACGTGGCTTCTGCAGTTGTTTCGGTCTCAGACATAGCAGTGGATCTTACTGTGGACGTGGCTTCTGCAGTTGTTTCGCTCTCAGTCATGGTAGTGGGTGCTGCTGTGGAGGTGGCTTCTGCAGTCGTTTCGCTCTCAGTCATGATAGTGGGTCCTGCTGTGGACGTGGCTTCTGCAATCGTTTCGCTCTCAGACATAGCAGTGGATCCTACTGTGGATGTGGCTTCTGCAGTTGTTTCGCTCTCAGTCATGGTAGTGGGTGCTGCTGTGGAGGTGGCTTCTGCAGTCGTTTCGATCTCAGACATAGCAGTGGATCCTACTGTGGACGTGGCTTCTGCAGTCGTTTCGCTCTCAGTCATGATAGTGGGTCCTGCTGTGGACGTGGCTTCTGCAGTTGTTTCGGTCTCAGACATAGCAGTGGATCTTACTGTGGACGTGGCTTCTGCAGTTGTTTCGCTCTCAGTCATGGTAGTGGGTGCTGCTGTGGAGGTGGCTTCTGCAGTCGTTTCGATCTCAGACATAGCAGTGGATCCTACTGTGGACGTGGCTTCTGCAGTCGTTTCGCTCTCAGACATAGCAGTGGATCCTGCTGTGGAGGTGGCTTCTGCAGTCGTTTCGATCTCAGACATAGCAGTGGATCCTACTGTGGACGTGGCTTCTGCAGTTGTTTCGCTCTCAGTCATGGTAGTGGGTGCTGCTGTGGAGGTGGCTTCTGCAGTCGTTTCGATCTCAGACATAGCAGTGGATCCTACTGTGGACGTGGCTTCTGCAGTCGTTTCGCTCTCAGTCATGATAGTGGGTCCTGCTGTGGACGTGGCTTCTGCAGTCGTTTCGCTCTCAGACATAGCAGTGGATCCTACTGTGGACGTGGCTTCTGCAGTTGTTTCGGTCTCAGACATAGCAGTGGATCTTACTGTGGACGTGGCTTCTGCAGTTGTTTCGCTCTCAGTCATGGTAGTGGGTGCTGCTGTGGAGGTGGCTTCTGCAGTCGTTTCGATCTCAGACATAGCAGTGGATCCTACTGTGGACGTGGCTTCTGCAGTCGTTTCGCTCTCAGTCATGATAGTGGGTCCTGCTGTGGACGTGGCTTCTGCAGTTGTTTCGGTCTCAGACATAGCAGTGGATCTTACTGTGAACGTGGCTTCTGCAGTTGTTTCGCTCTCAGTCATGGTAGTGGGTGCTGCTGTGGAGGTGGCTTCTGCAGTCGTTTCGCTCTCAGTCATGATAGTGGGTCCTGCTGTGGACGTGGCTTCTGCAATCGTTTCGCTCTCAGACATAGCAGTGGATCCTACTGTGGAC